AATTTTCTTCCAAGTATTGGACTCTGGCTTCTAATTGAGCAATAACTTGGTCTTTTTCTTCATCCTTCCTCTTCTCAAAAATAGTGTCCTTACTTATTTTAAATTTTTCTACTATAATGTTATCATTATGGTATATTTCTTCTATGGGCTATTCTGTAGTAATAGTATCATCTTGGTGCATCTCTTCTGTAATTGTTTTTTCAACAGAAGGGGTTTGTTTTTTTCTTGATAACATTCATCATATAGACTTTGGTTAGCTTCTAATTCAGTACTTTGTTTAGCAAAGAGACACTCTTGACAAAGAGCTACTTTTTCTTCAAAATTTTTTCTTAAATTCTCAATAGCTTTGTGGGTATCAAAGTTAGATTGAGAAGTATTAAATGATTTATTTAAGACCTGTTGTAAGGTAGCTTCTTCTTCTTCTGTAAGCAATACTTGCTCTGCTTGAAATAAAATAGTAATCGCTTCAGGAGTCCATTCTTGATTATATCTATCATCTTCTTGCTCTTCCATAGCTTCTTCTATACTTCTATATTCTTCATCAAGTAAAACTTTAACTAAACGATAGATTCGGTCTTGGTTCAAGTCATACTGATATCCAGCATTCCTGGTAAACTTAGTATAATGCCTGATTCTGTTCCAAATCTCATAGTTTGGATTATATTGAAGGTCTGTAAAGATTTTATAAGCATACATGTGTTCTAATTTACAGAACCACAATTCTTCTCGTATGCTTTTTATATTATACATTCTTGATCTAGGTTTCTGAGTATTACAAAGTTTGCATTGAACAAGGGTTTCTCTACCAAGTCCTGTATTGTAATATTCCTGGCTTCTGGAATCTTCTGGGTCTAGAGCTTCATAGTATGTTTTATAATAAGCAATACAAGCAAGTTTTTCTTCTAATTTGTATAATTTGTCAGATTGCTGAGAAGCATGACAATGACAACAATGATGAGTTCTTCTTCTACTATAGTAGGTCATTCTTCTTTCTTCTATTTGGTTTTTGTTATAACCATATTTGTAAGTCAGATTGTCAAGCTTGAGTTGGGCAAGAGTGCATTTAATTTCGATGTGGCCAAATTCATTACAGCTATAGTATTGGTTGTCTAGACAGTCTTTAAACAAGTGAGTGGTTTGTCTACAAGTTTTATAGCCATTTGACCTTTCATGTTTATTGGGGCAGTTGATAAGTATATGTCTAAATTTGTTGCAATAATAACATTGATTTCTGGGGCAATTCTTATACTAGTGGTTAGCTTGACCACAGGTCTTGCAAGGTGGTTTCCTTCATCAAGGTTGGTAGGTAGTCTATCCTTGGTCTTTATTTTCTGAGAATACTAAAAATGTATAAGCTTCATGAGGTGTTAGATATTCTTGCTTATATAATTCAAAATCTTTAGCAGTAGTACAAGTTGGTTTCTTTTCTTTAGACTTTTCTTGCTCATAAGAAGTATCAAGAATAGTCTTCTTTTTTTTCCAATAGAGAGTATATTGACATGTTTTCTAATCATAATTAGCTTTTACCTTCTTTAACTAGTCATTACCAAGTAAAATAGAATAAGAGATGGCAAGTACAACTTCTACATCCAAGAGAATAAGTTGGCCTTGGATTCTAATAGGCAAATTTCTAATAATTTCAAGAGGTCTGGAGGTGGTGCTAGTAGCAACAACAATAAGGCTTTTTGATAGCTCTTCAATTTTAAGGCCTAGTTCCTTTATAGTTTGGTGCGAGATTATACTGACAGAGGCTTCACTATCAATAATAG